ATATGGGATATTGATGGGATAATTCTAAGGTGATAATATGGGATATTGATGGGATAATTCTATGATGATCATATGGGATATTGATGGGATAATTCTATGATGATAATATGGGATATTTATGGGATAATTCTATAATGATAATATGGGATATTTATGGGATAATTCTATGATGATGATATGGGATATTTTTGGGATAATTCTATGATGATAATATGGGATATTTATGGGATAATTCTATGATGATAACATGGGATATTTATGGGATCATTCTATGATGATCATATGGGATATTTATGGGACAATTCTATGATGATCATATGGAATATTTATGGGATAATTCTATGATGATCATATGGGATATTGATGGGATAATTCTATGATGATCATATGGGATATTTTTGGGATAATTCTATGATAATAATATGGGATATTTATGGGATAATTCTATGATAATAATATGGGATATTTATGGGATAATTCTGTGATGATAATATGGGATATTTATGGGATAATTCTATGATGATCATATGGGATATTGATGGGATAATTCTATGATGATCATATGGGATATTTATGGGATAATTCTATGATGACCATATGGGATATTGATGGGATAATTCTAAGGTGATAATATGGGATATTGATGGGATAATTCTATGATGATAATAGGGGATATTGATGGGATAATTCTATGGTGATAATATGGGATATTTATGGGATAATTCTATGATGATAATATGGGATATTCACCCCGCTTCGCGTGGGGTGGCCGCCCACACCGCAGGTTTATTTCGGTCCGTGAGAGGGGCTAAGGGTGGTTTTCCCCCGTGGGGGCTCCCCAAGCTAAGAATTTTCACTTTCCCCCCCCGTGGGGGCTCCCCAAGCTAGGGAATTTTCACTTTTCCCCCCCGTGGGGGCTCCCCAAGCTAGGGAATTTTCACTTTCCCCCCCCGTGAGGGCTCCCCAAGCTAGGGAATTTTCACTTTTCCCCCCCGTGGGGGCTCCCCAAGCTAGGGAATTTTCACCCCCCCGTGGGGGCTCCCCAAGCTAGGGAATTTTCACTTTTCCCCCCCGTGGGGGCTCCCCAAGCTAGGGAATTTTCACTTTTCCCCCCCGTGGGGGCTCCCCAAGCTAGGGAATTTTCACTTTTCCCCCCGTGGGCTTCCCAAGCTAGGGAATTTTCACTTTTCCCCGCCGTGACAGCTTCCCAAGCTATGGAATTTTCACTTTTCCCTCCCTTGGAGGCTCTCCAAGCTGCGGAATTTCAAATAGCTAGACAACGACGCCTAGATAGTCCCCCAAATCCCGTGTTCTTTGAATGTGTTTCCATGTTTTTGCAATGGTTTCCTTCAAAGCACGGTACTTTACACTTTTGTCGCCATAAAACCGGTCGAAAACATCATGTTCGACAATGCTTCCAATTCCCTTATCTCCCCAACCGTTGAAAATACCGCTATTTACAGTGTTTTCTTCAATTTTTCCATGTGCCAATGCCGGTAGCCAACTCCAACATATATATAAGAAATCCTTCCAAAACATTGTTTTTGACAGTGTTTTTCCAATGTTTCCAGTCAAACAGACGGTAATTTACACGTTTTTTGCCATAAAGGCAGTAAATCCTTCCAAAACATTGCTTTTGACAGTGTTTTTGTAATGTTTCCAGTCAAGCATACGGTAATTTACACGTTTTTTGCTATAACGTCAGTCCAAAACACTTGTTTTTGCAGTGTTTTCAATGCTCTGGCATCCAAAACCCTGCAAAATCTTGCTATGTACAATGTTTTTTTCATTTTTGGCCGTTTTTCCATTGCCGGAAAGCTACCAAAATGACCCAAAATTCCATTTCAATACCCTCTTGCGCTCAGACACCCAAAAATCCTCGAAAAATGTCGAAAACACCACCGTATTCTGGTCTCGGTGCGAAACCGTTTTTGGCCCCCCCCAGCTAAAGCTGATATAGCGACTGCTATATTAACAAATGTCATTGAGCATTTAGTGTTGCTGTTGCCCCCCAATAAGCACGCCTTCACCGCCAAAGCGGTGTGGGCGGATTTATGGGATAATTCTATGATGATAATATGGGATATTTTTGGGATAATTCTATGATGATCATATGGGATATTTATGGGATAATTCTGTGATGATAATATGGGATATTTATGGGATAATTCTATGATGATCATATGGGATATTGATGGGATAATTCTATGATGATCATATGGGATATTTATGGGATAATTCTATGATGACCATATGGGATATTGATGGGATAATTCTAAGGTGATAATATGGGATATTGATGGGATAATTCTATGATGATAATATGGGATATTTTTGGCATAATTCTATGATGATAATATGGGATATTTTTGGCATAATTCTATGATGATCATATGGGATATTGATGGGATAATATGGGATATTTATGTGATATTTATGTTGGTTTTTTGTGTACCTATTCTCTGACAGCCATGGCACCTCTCGGCACAGTAGCAGAATGCCATTTCGGAGGCCTCGCTCGCCCAAGCACGAAGAACTCTATGTCGAAGCTGCTGCTCGCCGAGAGCGGCACCAGGCGGAGTCATTTTCAGCATTCAAAATGACCAAAATGAACAAAATGGTGGATGACGCATGTTTCTTCCCCTATCATGTTCCAATCAATCATTTTACCGATTTGACCATTATCTTCCCATTTTTTCGATTTTTTTCCATCAATTTCCCATCATTCTACCAATTTAACCATCATTTTACTACCATTTTCAAGTCTTCTGCATTATTTAACCATCATTTTCAAGGCTTTCCCATCACTTTCCCACACTTTTCATTGACCGTGCCAGGAACGCTTGGCGCAGTCCATGCTGTTGCGACAGCAATCTGAGGCTGACGAGCAACTGCGATGGCAGAGACTTGGTGTTTATTCGTTACAGCGTTATTAAACACTATGAATTGGTGGGTTAATGGAGTTTATAATACGATTAACCCATTATGATATGCTATGATATGATTATGATTATGATTATGATTTTGATATGATTATGATTATGATTATGATTATGATTATGATATAGTACAATCCTGCTTAATAGGTGAAAATGGTGCTTCATAGTGGTTAATAGTGCTTAAGAATGGACCCCATAACGACTAATACTGGCTGGTAGTAGATAAGAGTTGTGATGATTGGGATGACACAGCCGGGATCATTATGAGGATGGTTGGTCGGGGATTTACCCAACCATAATATGGGGATACCATAGCGATATAATGGGACACATCATCTAAATCCACCGGTGTATATGATATACATAACAGTTTTATAATGTTTTATATACCCTCCGGTGTCCTCAAACATGGCTAGCTCAGAAATCCCCGAACTAAATGGGCATCTATGTGGGAAATTATCGAACTACAGGATCTAAATGGAGGATTCTACGGAAAATCATGTTCGATTCCCAGAGGGTAGAGAAAACCCCAAGGTAAGCTTCATAGACGTTTGAATAGTGTAGCATGTGAAAGTGGGAACTTTCGAGAATGAACAGTCCAAGCCCTTTGTTCATGCCGGTTTCTTTCTTTGGAAAAAATTATCACATGCACATTGTTGTGCTCAAGAAGAACTGATAGGAATGAAAGTGACAGAGTAGGTAGCCAGTCAAAATACGCGAAGTGCTATGGTAGGATGATAGTAAAGGCTATACCGCAGCATCAGAGTGTTTTCAGAGATTTGTATCATTTATTATCATTTTAGTTTTTTTCGCAATCTAAGGGGCGAGCGGCTAGCCTGGCAGGTGCCCAGCACAGATCTTCATAGATCTTCCAATTTTTGAAACAAGTCGATGTTTGACATGGCAAGCGGAAATTGGAAGATTTCCAACATGGCACGGACACAGAAATTTGGCGATGGCATCGCGCAGTGTCCTCAGGCCAGCTACAAAGGACCTCAGGACACTTTCCGGCACTGAGTAGATTTCCTGAGCCGAAAGGTGTCCGTATTTTGTTCTATTTCGTTGATGTCAACCTTTGACTGATGCCAGGATTTCAAGTCCAAAAGCCACGCAGACCGCGAATTGGAACTGTTGCAGAAGAGGCCCCAATGACCGTGGTGTCGCGCTGTGAAGGTTGAGGAACCATCGACCAAAGTCGAGCTATGGTACTTTGGATCCATTTGGATCCACTTCTTGGAGCACTCTTGAAGACCCCAATGAGCTCAGATATCTCATGTGAGGTGTTTGAATTGTTAGAGCCATCCATTGCCATTACAAGATTCACATAGATTCAGCCATCGTGACATCTGAATCCCAGGCAAAGCTGGCAAGAGCGCTTTGAAGTGCAGTGGGGGCGCCCGTCGACCAAAAGGTGGATTCCCCTGTGTTGCAAAGACCTTAAAGAAGAACAATAAGAAAAATGTATTTCAAACATGTGGCCAGACGCTTCACTTGGGGTTCAAAGGACCAAAACCAAAGACGTACGAAACTCGGGCTGCTGGACTGTGGTGAGGCAGACTGTTCGAGAAAAGCAGGACACAGTGAACTTCAGGGTGAAGTGCACGTTGAGCTGCGCAACGCTCGCAAAGCATGCTCATTGGTCAGCTGTAAAGTTGAAGCAGAAAGAGGTAAGCAGGTATAAACACAAACATGCCAGAACAATTCTATATACTGTAGTAACACGGAACAAGTCTAGTAACAGGAGAACACGAGACATAACCATGATATTCCATTCATCCCTCCATCCTGACATCAGGAGCTGCAAGAGTGCACCTTTTGGCCAGACACCAGCAGGCCAGTGGACTAAGTTTCCCTGATAGACCATCCCCAGTAACCAGCTAGGAGTCATTGTATATCATCCCGAATAGGGAGTATACTGAGTATACGGGATATATATATATATATAATATATATATATGGATATATCCAATAAATGCCCAAGTGGGGATGGTTCATTCTTGGTTTACCTCGTTGACACCTCGTTACTGACCGTCTTTTGGTGGAAACATGTGGAAACTCTGCAGCCATGAGTTCTTGAACCTGGCTCAAATTGGGAGATTTTGAATGCCATGGGTGCACACTGTGTTGAAAACACAGCTTGAGGCAAACTCTCAGGCAGAAAAATAGAAGGAAAGGACGGACAAGAGAGACGTTTCTGGCGCTTGTGTGAATACCAGAGCTGATTTTAGAGCCATGCTCTACGAGCCGATGTCACAGCCACAGCCTTGTGGTTACGAGGGAGGCTACTTGCACGGTCCCGGTTGGTCATTTGAGCAAAGCCACCTCTGTGGCAGCCAAGTTCCACTGCCAACTGAACGTCCGAAGCGAGGTTCTGAGGTCAGTGAAGAGTGGGATGTTTTAGCACCCCTGAAAAAGCTGCGATTGACCGAAACTCCGCCTTTACCAGAAGCAGAAGACATGGCTGTGGATGATGCAGAGCGGAATTCTGGGCCTAGTGGCTCCCCAACTGCCATGACGGACTCTGAGGATGCGCATGGTTCTAGCAATCCCTTTGCCAAGCAAGGAAGCAAAACAGAAACCTTGCAGGAACGGCGAGCCAAGATCCAGCAACGTGCGTGGGAGGAAATGCGAAAGTACAGGCAAGCTCTTCGGAACTGCGAGGGTGGGATGGTGATCAGGGACTGCGCCTAGTGCCTAGCATTTCCAAGCAATGTCTGGTGCAAGAAAGCTCAGTTTGTACAGGTTTCAAGTTGCACTTTCAGCCGTGATGCTGAAAACCAGATGCAGATGCCCAGTGACATGCTGCATCACACGTGTACTGCAAAGCCTCTGAATTGGGTTTGCCCCTTTCTTTGTGGTGATGTGGTTCCAGTATGTTCCAATTGAGAAGTGACATCAGAGGGTTGGGGACAGCAGACCTGCAGGAGCAATAGCAGCTTCCGAGCCTCTCGTAATGGATCCCTCACCAGGAGTAGCAATGGGCCTGGGACTCAGTTGATTTTATTGGCTAAACACGTGGCTGGAGATGTCTCTGACAAGGCCAGGACTGAGCCATCTATTTTGTGGTTCAGAGTTTGTAGCCACGTTTTGGCTCCAGCCGTCTCAGTATCTCAGTCAACGTGCTGGCACTATTTAGTTCCAGCCGTCCAGGTTGCCCCTCTCCAGAGACGGTAGCCGTGGCTAGCCTGGTGCTGCGTTTTTTTTTTTGCTCGGATTTTTGCCAGTTGAAACTTCAGCTCGGAAGTTGGCTCCAACAAAACCAAGAGAATGATAACAACTTGTAAAGTGAATCCCTAGATTCAAGCAGACTGGATGAATGATGACCTTCACTACCATGATGTATGGGTATGTCTGAACATGGGGTACCCCATTCCATCCACTGATTCATCACATTTTTTGCCAGTAAAATGGTACGTTTTGGGGTGTTTATTTTATCCATGTTGGGGCAAAACCAGTGCTGTAATATACTGTAACAATATTGGTGATTAGTATCCCCTATATAAATATCCCCATATCAAACCATATCAACCTATATGAACATCAAAAACCCATGATAATGACCTATAATGATCTGTCTGGTGGGCAGCTTAGGCCTCTTGCGAAACCCCAGTACGGCGAGCCGCAGCAGCAGCCGTGGCATGTCCCCGCGCGATGACACCGCGGCGGAGCCAGGGGCGTTGGGTCGACATCCAAAAATCAACTAAGGATGAATTATATATGATATTATATGATTATATATGATTATATTATAATAATATTACGTATTTATTTTGATTTACACATTATACATGCTCAAACCATCTCAAACCATACATTTTGACATTAACTTGGAGTTTTAAAGTTGATCAATCCCTTCCCCGCCTTCCCCCTGTATCAAATAACCTCCATGCATGGCGTGGCTCTGGCTCGAGAAACAGCAAACTCTATGTGCCAGTTGATCATCGGCTTATAAATATCAAAATGAATAGTAATAATAATGAATAATAATAATGATGAACAATGAATAGTAATAATGAATAATAATAAAGTAAATATGACAATGATATGTCAACACCAAGACACAGACACAGACCCACTTTGTTTCCGCGACGCCGCGTCAAAGGTGTGAGCCCCAGGGGGGGACGCAGGACAAGCCTTCTGAGAGTCAGCGGTTTGACGATTGCCTTCTGAGGTGTAGCAGATTGCCATGCTGTTTCGTTTTGCAGGCGAGCAGTCATGTGATGTCATGTGTGTTTCACAGGAACCAGGGATTACCCATGCAGCATACGGGCTTTTTTCTTCTTTTTCTTTGTGCCATTTTGTAGCCATGTTTTGCGAATTTGGTAGTTTGTGGTAGGGTAAGTCTGCAGTTGCACAGTTGCCTGCAAGGGTTTCGGGGTTGCGAGTGAGCAAGTGAGTTGCCTCATTGTGCCTCCAATTTTCAGTCACGCTGTCAAATCAATGGCCATTTCAGGTACCTAAACTGGAGGTACTGTACCATATACTGGAGAGATATCCCCTTACATAGCCATTACATAGACATTCTATATGGTAGGTACCTCAAATTTAGGTTCCTGAAATGGCCACTGATCAAACTGGGTTTACCTAAGGGCAGGATACCCCTAGAGTGTCATGGTTTGTCATAATTTCATGATATAGTTTCATGTATTTAATGTCATATAATTTCATATGATTTCCCCATGAAACTTGCCATCAAATGGAATAACCCAGGAGGTCTCCCATGGTATCCACGCAGCGGTGAGGTATCTGTGCCTTAGCCTGGCTGGTCGCCGCCAAGCCGAAGAAGGGTGGTAAAGGCGCGGAGCGTGTTAGATATGTTTAATATGTTAAATCTGTTAAATGAATAAGTTACAGTAAATAATATGTTATAATATGTCATAATATGTCATAATATGAATTTGGACATGAATTCTAGCCGTGAACTTTCGGTCGATAGCTAGAAATGTTGGCAGGAAATGGCCTGGACGGCCTGGAGGGCTTGGACGGCTTGAGTGACCTGACCAACATGGCGGAGCAGCTGAAAGATGCCAAAGGCGGAGCAGCTGACGTTGGGGAGATCATTTTGACCGATGTTAAAAAACATTTGGACCTCAAATTTTTTCGAATTTGAGGTGAAAATTGTGATTGGATGTTAAAGGTATTTTAAGATGTATCCCCATTTGGATCCATTTGGACACAAACTCGAGCTGCAACCACCTGCAATACTTTGGCTCAGTTGTGCCGCGCGTGCCTGCCTTGGGCTCGCGCAGGGGCGCCAGGGCTGGCATGGACCAGTACCAGAAAATCGAAAAGGTGGGTGAGGGCACCTATGGCATTGTTTACAAGGCGCAGGATTCTGCAGGGGAAGTCTTTGCGCTGAAAACCATCCGGCTTGAGGCAGAAGATGAGGGCATTCCTAGCACTGCAATCCGGGAAATTTCTCTCCTGAAGGAACTGCAGCACCCAACATCGTGAAGCTTTGTGATGTGATCCACACCGAGAGAAAGTTGACCTTAGTCTTCGAGTATTTGGATCAAGATCTCAAGAAGCTTCTGGACATGTGTGAAGGAGGATTGGACTCTGCCACCACAAAGTCCTTTCTCTACCAGCTCTTACTGGGAATTGCGTATTGCCACGCTCATCGGGTGCTTCACCGTGACTTGAAGCCGCAGAATTTGCTGATCAATCGAGAGGGCTCTTTGAAGCTCGCAGACTTTGGCTTAGCCAGGGCTTTCGGCATTCCTGTGAGGAGCTACACCCATGAGGTGGTGACCTTGTGGTATAGAGCCCCAGATGTGCTGATGGGTTCTCGCAAGTACTCCACCCCAGTAGACATTTGGTCAGTTGGGTGTATCTTTGCAGAGATGGTCACTGGCCGTCCTTTGTTCCCTGGAGACACTGATGCCAATCAGCTCCAGAAGATCTTCAGGATCTTGGGGACTCCGTCAGCAGAGACTTGGCCAACCATCACTGAATTGCCAGACTGGAAGCCAGACTTTCCAGTCTTTGAACCCCAGGCCTGGACTTCAATAACACCTACTCTGGAACCTCAGGGCATGGATTTGATGACCAAATTTCTTCAGTATTGGCCGGACCGACGGATATCTGGCAAAGCAGCTAAAGACCACGACTACTTCAAGGGGCTCAGTGATGCAGATATAGCAGCTAAGACAATGAAGTGAGTCAAACGTGGCACCCGAAGTCGTTGCCCGTTGGACCCATGTTGTTGCCACGGCATGTGATTCTTGCCAACTGGAGCCAATCGATTTGCTCCTGAAACAACACAACAGCAATGCACTTGACACCAGATGACACCAGATGACACCAGATGTCAGTACCAAAAGAATACCAAAAGATCTCACAGGTCTGATATGGTTGATATGGTCTGAGTCTGATAGTAAATGCCACTTCCTGGCAGTGAAATTTAGTGGCTCGGCCTAAACCCGAGCAAACCATTCACAGTCAGGGGCTGTGCCGACTCAAAGTTCCGCGCTTTAATGATTGATCCTGAAAAAGGTCGAAATGACATGGCTTGCAAGTTTCTTCCCCACTCGGCATCCCAAAAAACTCAGCATGTCTGAACTTCACTACAGTAGATGCGCTAGATGCCTTGTCCTTTCGGTCAACCGTTGAAGAGTTCCAAGTTTTTTCACGACCACGTATGACCTCCACATGGCTCGCACGCGGCGCCAGAAAACCCGGAGAAAGCCCAGAAGGCTTTGAACATGATGGATCCAGACAGTTTGGGCCGCATGGTTGGCACTTAGAGACTAAATTCAACTCAACAACTGCAGCCACCAGTGAGTCACCAGTGAGTCACCAGTGTAAAATAATGTGAAATCATGCTAATTATGCCAGGGGTTGAAGTTGAAACTGGGCACCGATGGTTAGTGAATGTTTGGATAGTGAATGGTCATTGGTGGTTGTCAGATTTCCTGACTGCAGGTGATTCCATGGCCAACATGATGGTGATGGCCATGGACAAGGACCATCGTTGTGACCATCGTTGTGACCATCCGATCGAATCGCTTGGCTCGACAGGACGGGAATGGTGTTCTGTCCAAGGAGGAAATTGATGCAGTTCCGATGGGCGACCAAGGCGACATGAAAGGCAACGCCGAGGTGCGATCTGAATCTGATATAATCTTATCATATCTTATCCATTCAGCTGTGATTTCCAAGAAACTAGAAACATGTAGAGACATACCCGGGAGCCGGTATCTCAAACAGTGTGTGCATGATGCAGACATGGTAAACTCCAGCAAGACATTTGGCCCCCCACAGGAGATGTTCGGACAAATGGATTTAGATGGAGACGGTGAGGTCACCAGAATCTCAGCCGAAGCTGTGCAGCTCTTGCTGAAGTGCTTAGTCAATCTTAGTCAGCTAGCTTGAGTCATCTTGAGTCACTGAATGTCATTGATACCGCGCTCACTACTGTGTTGCTGTGGGTCTAGTAGATAGATGTAGAGTCATGACATGACGCGCGGATGTCATTCCGTGTGATTCGTTGTGATGAATCGCAACAGATGATCTGATTCTTTCTGAAGCTATTGGCCAATGGATTCCAGAAGATCTATGAAGATCTAACATCCGTGTTGAACCTGAAAATCTAAGGAAAAGAGGCCAAGGTCTACTTTTCGAAGCTTGGCAACTTGGATGCCATGGACAGTTTTTGTGAGTTTGAAGTCACAGGCAGCAAAGAGGCAATGCGTAGCAATCTACAGTGATGAGAGTGCACTTTGTCATACAGACCTACTGTAGCCCTTGACGTTGATTAATCATTCTATCATATTCTATCATCATCTTTGCTGTCGATTTGCGCTCTATCCGGCCATCCAGTATCATCCAGTATCATCCAGTATCATCCAATATCATCCAGTATCATCCAGTATCATCCAGTATCATCCAGTATAGTATCATCCAGTATCCTGTATCGCAAGACCCCAGCTCTGCCAGCTCTCCCAGCTCTGGTATTGTTATGTCCTGTCGAGGTAATACCTTGAAAGGCATGAGCGGCATGATGGGCAGCACCAAGAAGACCGACCTCTGAAATCCTTCAGCGGCGTGTGTGGCAAAGGTGGCAGCAAGGCATCGGCATCAGCTGAGAGCTTTTGATTTCATTTTGAAGAGACAGCTCAGCTAGCTGCAAGTGCACTGAAAACACCTGAAAACCAACCAAATTCCACCAAATTCCAAAGACAAAACTCAAAACCTCAGAATTCTTCCGCTTTTTGAGAGGTTTGGGGGGTGGATAGTGTCGATTGCGTGTCACTTTCAACGTGCTGCCAAAATTCAGGTGCTCCTGAGCCCGCCTTTGTACCTTCGAGCCAATAAAATTGGTTGAAACTAGAAGCTTCCAGTCTCGCCGAGTCTCGCCAGTCTCGCCCGGGCATTCGGCATCTTTTTTGTTCATTGATGTCATTACTAATGAATAGATAGTACTTCTCTGTCTATTTTTTAGACTCAAGAAATTGCCCTTAGAAATAATTTTAAAAGAAAAGCGCTAATCGACCTGGTAAATCTTGGAGAGATCAAGAGAAAAGGTGAGACACGGAACGCGGTTTGCATGAAATGCCTTGGTGGTTTCCGAGATTTTGATATCTTGGACAGGAATCTAATCCAACTGCAGTTTTGACACAAAGCCCTCGTCTTGCGGTGTAGGCAGGGTCACCAGCTTTCCAAGCGCAGCGCTCCGAAAATGAGAGAGCTTTGCATAGCAATCATCCTTGATTCTTATTCCACATTTTGCGGGGACCATACTTTGACATACCATTTTGTTGACAGAACATTTCTGGATTGAACACATGTGGTTTACCTTAGCAGGACTTGGTGGCACTCTATGACAAGCAAGTCTTGGTATTGAGGCAGGGAAGACCGGTTAGACCACCTTCGCGCGATCTGGAAAGGGTCTCCGTATGTGCACCTTCAGAAATTGCCAGAACAAAAGAATAGCTAGGAGACATTCCAGCATTCCAGGCGTTGTTCCAGGTATTCCTAAACCTTTCAACTCAAAGCCTTCAAAATAAAACGGGGAATCTCACCAGTTCTACAACTTGTTCCTGTTGTCAGTGAAAAAAACCGTTCCACTTCTGCATCAGGCGCCTCAGTGTCATTTGTGCCTCCGCAGAGCCCAGTGGCGCGCCCGGAAGACTGGGGGATCAGACCAGCTGAGGAAGGAACCATGGGCCCATGAAAGATTTCCCTGGGTTTTCCGGGGATTTCCATGGATTTACAACTGTGCTTCAATCTCGATTTCCATGATTATTTGTCAATTTGAGGGGATAATGGGGGATAATGGAGGATAATGGGGGACATTATAGGGCTAGTGATGGCTAGTGATGGCTGGAAAGGGAGGGAACTTGAATTGTGGACAGGCGACGATGGCTCCCGGAAGTCAAGGCCTGATGAGAGCATAGGGAAGGAATCAAGGCTTGCGGCATATCCCAATCCATACCGCTTCAAAAACACGCAAAAACCTGTGGATGTGTCTGAAAATGCTGTCTGCTTTAAAACAACCTGGCAATTTTGGTAGGGAAAATGAATGAAAATGAATGATGATCATCTGTTGGAGTTGGGGACATGTTTTTTTTTTCACAGCCATGCTTATCCGCAGATCTGCAGCGCAACTCAGGTTATCCACGGCTGGAGATTTGGTTGCCAGCGCAGCTGAAGGGCCTGAAAGGCTGAAGACGGAGCTGAAGCTCTACCGTCAACAGCTGGAGCAGGCTGGATGTTTGACGCGAGTCTGAAGAGAAGCTAGTAGGATCATGCAGTATCAAAAGGAAGATAACCTAGTGGTTGTGTCATTCCAACATGCACCTTGAATCACCTTGAGTATCCTTGAATCTTGATTTGTTGTAATTTGAACATGATGAAACGTCGATATTTTAGATTTTAGATAGAGGATGATGGAATGGAATCTTGAACGCGGCTGAGTCAGTCAAAGCTGTTCTTTTGACGATGCAACTGGGACCCGCGGACCTGGAGGTTCATGTCCTCGAGCGTTTGGACATGGTTGCCTTGGAGCTATCTGCCGAAAGGCTCAGGCGGGGCGTGCTTGGCACCACCCACCCTTGTTGTCATAGACACCAAAAACCACAGCGATATACAGGGTGAGATAGGGTGAGATAAGAGATAAGTTGCTGGAAATTTTTGGGACTGGAGAGTGCAAGTGCAAATCGATGCACATTGCGTCATTGGGTTTGCGATGCTTTTTGGATGTATAACAGTTTGTGACAGTAGCAGATTTTCTGACAATCCCTCATTGTCGATCTTTCGTGAAGACAATGTCGACATGGCGAAAGAATCGATTCATAATGTACCCTCTGGTAATTTAACATAACTATGGAAAATCACCATCTATAGTAGGTAAATCCACTATAAATGGTCATTTTCAATAGCTATGTTAAATTACCAGAGGGTACATTATGATTCATCATTAAGGCTCACTAGTGCGAGTCCTAGGAATGAAGTCACTTGGCGTCCAGACGGCAAACAGTCAGCCTTCAGGTATCTCATTTCTCTGGGATACAAGCTGGGAATTGCAGAGGCGGGAGATATTGAAGACATTGAAGATATTTCGGACCAAGATCCAAAAAAGCTGATTTCTATTGATTTTCTACTAGGCAAACAAGAAAGAACTTGACTCAAATTGACCGATCGCTATCCGGGTGGCTTGGCACAAGCGGAGCCTTGGCCACAGGAGCTTCGCAGTAAACTCCAGAAACCAGGTCGGCCGGGGAGGATTTCCTACATGATACAGTACAATTTTATGTAATTTACTTCAATTTATGTACTTATGTGACTTATGTACCTCAACAAGTTTTGGAAGGTCAAACTTCAGTGAGTTGTATGATACTTGAAGAATGTGAATAATTGCTCCCATGCCCATCATGCATCCAATGAGTAGTTTCTCTTGAACAGTAGCCAATTGCTACAGGTGAGTAGCGGTTAGTGCGGCCGTATTGTTTCCTCTCATCTTGACCAGTCCAGGTAAACCAGTCTCCCTAGGGCATGGCTGAGATATCTTGAGACCTGACTTAGAACTTGACAATCTATAAATAAGTCGCTGAAATTAGCTTGGTCATCTAATTACATTAATTACAGATTCTGAGTTTCATTTTAGTTAGGAAACAGTGCCATAAGTAAAGAAGTGCAAAGAAGGACCTGGACCTTGTTGATTGGAACACCCGAACTGCAGCCACGTATGGTATTTCTAAGCACCATAAGTGCTTCATAGCAATTATATATGCAATTATCATATATCATGTAAGAGATCTGTAGAGAAGATATACCAATTTATGCCGGACATATGATGAACACTTGTGCCAGACATCATCATTGGGTCAACACCTATGTCACCTATGTCTATGTCCCATATTTGGATGCACATCCCTTTGTGAAGCATTTGATGTTCGCTCTCCGCTGCTGAGGAAGCGCAAATCTGCCACCTGCGGGCGCTGAGACAAGGTGCACTCCTAGGAGCCATGATTAGAGTGGCAATGATGCCAATTCATCGATGGATGTGTTTGAAAGTCCGTCCTCATAAATCAATGAATCAACCCATAAGAAATATGAACAGCTACAAAAACCACATCCTTCCACATTTTTTCCACCAAGTTTTCCCCAGTTTACCCACAGAATGACCGTATGTTCTGCCGATTTCCGCCTGCAATTTTTGACGCCAGGCAAGATCCAGAGGAGAGCACGCAGGAGCTGCGGATTCCGATGGATTCCATAGCTGGTGAAGCCAGCTGTGCAGCACTCGAGAGCGGGGTATGGTCCATGTGATACCAATGTTATCCCCAATTTGTAAATAAACCGATACCCAATGTAATCAGTTTATTCACATCAATTTATGATCTACTATAATTTCCTTTATAACATGTTATAATATGTTATAATCATTTTGCTTTTTTCTTTTTTTTTTTGACTAATCATACCACGATAAACCATCCCCCAGACGGGCCAAAAGGCGCGGCTTGGCGCGGCCCCCTTGGATTTCCCCGATGGAACTGCAGGATGAACTGCTGAGCGCAAGTTCACCCACCTGTGGCCCCAACGGACCGGCGACGTGAATGACATGAGGTCCATTTTTCGGCTGGGAAAGTCCCCAAGAAAATATGGAGGTCTAAAGATGGGAGAATCATCGAAGTAAATGGAGAATTTTCCAGAATGTTTGATTAATTACCAGAAGGATCCAGAAGGTATGCTTTGATCATGTTTCATAATTGGTTATGATCTGAGGATATCTGAAGTCTGTTTGCATAGCAGTCCAGAATCATTTTATAGATTCAAAGTGTGGTTTGATCTCAGTTGATCCCTGGATTGTAGATTACACCCGCGTCATGCCCGAAAGCGGGCCATCCGCTGATACTGGCCTTATCTATTGCACGGGTTCCCGTAGTTGACACGGAAAATACGGCCTGGTAGCATTCCTGCATAATGCCATCAACCAAAAAAGGGGTTTGGGACATTCCTCAGATGATTGCCCAATAATGTACGTTTACCACATTAGCAGCTAGCACCCATTTTCGCAAGCGGTCCCAAGGCATTTGTTGCGGAAGGCTCTGCGCCGGGTCTGACGCCGGGGCTCAGTTGGGGAAGTGCATAGATTGCCATGAAGTCATGGCGGCATTAGATCTGTAAAATCTTGCGGAGCGTGTGGGGCTTTGATGAAGCAACTCAGCTGGGTTTCTGTTGAAAAGTCAGCGCTGCAAGGTGAAGATGTTTAACAAATTGTTTAACGTGAGATGTCACACATCTTATTTCTCGACATCATCATAGTTATAACTCCTACAATGACACACTGCGGGTCGGTAACCTTGCAGATCAAGCCTTGCTGGGAAAAACGGAGCTAGCTAGCGTGCTGGCTCTGCAAGTACCTTTAGAGTTTTAGAGTATTTGATCGGGTGCACTGTGGCAAACCCAGTTCTCGACCATGGTCAACTTCCCTGTGGGGTATATACAATGATTACAATGTGAATATATATATATAATATGTATATATATATATATATGATATTAAATTATATTAAATCAATATTACATCAACAATAATATAAGATATAAACCACAGAAACTGGACTTTCTTATTGGTGTACTACACTACACAGGATTTCCCTTCTGGGTCGGGGTACTTGGAGAGACGTGTGACTTGGCTTTCTGCAATGCTGGCAGATAGCACTTGCTAATGACCTGCGCTCCGGAAAACAGATAGCTCGATCACAATGAGGGGGAAGAAGCGAAGGGACGCAACAGCATTTCAATATATATATATATAATACACATAGAATCGAATATGGTATACTGTGTATAATGCTTTATAGATGGACTATAAATATTATAAATCACATATATATATATACACATATATATACATATATATGTAACTATATGTATATTATATAGTAGCTGGTCTCGGTTTCAGGATCCAAAGTCAAGGGTGACCAGAACGACAGGTCACATCCAGGTTTCGGGAAACCACTGGGGATACACAAGGCCTGTTTTCATACATGTCATTCGTACATTCACAACCCACACGCTACATGTGCGTCATATGTTTGGGCTACCAAAATTCTGTAGGAATTTTGAGCCTGGGTGTTTTTTTCATCTGGCTCAAAGCTGCAGATCGGACACCAAAAAAACATGAGGTGATTCCGAAATGGCATTGATGAAGACGCCCTCAAATCTACTGAACAACAGGGGGCTGGGTATGAGACAAGAGTGGCGATTTTGAAGTGGTCCGATGAACGGTCAATACCAAAACCAGGCAATCACCCCCAGCAAACACGCCAGCAAGTATTGAAGTGCTGCAGAGGCAGACAGTTCACAACGGGACAATCAACATTGCCGGACGCTGACCATTGCAACCATCTGCGGAAGATGTTCTTTAATTGTGTCCAGTTTGAGAAGACCAAACATAGTATTTAGTCCAGACATCACCCCCTTGGGGCCAACATTCGTTTTGAATTGCTGCCCAGTTATGGTGGTGCAATGGAGGTGACGGAACCACAAGAAAATGGGTGATTCCTCGTGCTCTTCACTGATCTGGTTTGCAGATGTATGCAGATGTGTAGACAACGTGGGAATGGGTTTTAATTGGTGCACCAGCCAGAAATATCAAAAATGGGATGGTTTACTACTAGAACATCATAGAATATCCTAGAATATCTATGGAAATTGCCAAGATCTATAGGTTTTCTACGGGTTTTCGAGGCTTTTCTGGGTCAGCTACCGGCGAGGATGCTTTGGGCCTCTTGGAGGAAGAACTTTCCCGAGAGACAAAGGCGGGGATTCGAGCTATCCAGGGAGGGATTCTGGAAGGAATTTGGAGTTTTCTTTGAGCTGATGGACATTTTTGTAATATTTTGTAATTATGATCAATGCTTGCAACCGAGTTGTCAACTCAGCAAATTTCTTGCTGTATTTTGGCATTTTTGGCTATCTCAGGCCACTACTGGTCCTGTCCGTCGAGTGGACTGGGATCAGAGCTTAGTTGAGTTGACCCACAACACCAGGCCGAGTGCTGGGAATGTTGAGCAGACTGTGGTGATTTTTAAATCATAGTCATGGCTCGCAAAGAGGGCCAAAGACGTGGCAGGCAAATCTACTCTAGAGTCTAGAGCGCCTCAATTTCAACTTTCAGATCTTTCAGGAAAGCAGTATAGAATGTGGAAATCATTGGACATCTGTAGAATTTACGCAGAGTGTTCATGTGGGCATTGCCTTTTCGGATCTTTTCGGCGAGAATCTGCTATGGCGATGTAGTGACAGCCGAGGTGATTTCCGTCAAGAAATGATTTGTAGGTTGCTGGACTTTCTGGACCTCGAACCAGCCGCACCTTTCAACATCTTTCAACCAGATTCCTGTCGAAGTTTGTCGAAGTTTGCGTTTCTAGTGTCGGAACCCGAGATTGCAGCATTTGGCTCTGGACATAGCTCCGTACCCCAGGATGTTATTTTCCTGGATAAGAAGATGCTTATCTTCGTCAGTCATCATACTGGTTGATGCAGTGTTTTCGAGAATGAAGCCTTTGCGTCGCTTGTTGGAAGGACATGTCGCCAACCTTGCCCAGTCGCATGGCGTTTCTGTACATCCAGGTTTCAAGTCCTGTCAGTCGCGCTTATTCTACGAATACAGTATGCACAAAACTTCCCCGGTACTGCTGACTGTTTTGCCGGATGGCTCAGTAGAGAAGAAAGCAAAGCGTTTGGAACCAAGCCCAAGGAAGATTCTTTTCACGTATTCATACCCTCAAAGTTTGAAAGCTGTCGTGTCTGGGCTACAGGAGCCTGTCAAGAGTTCACCATTTGTTAGGAAACAGTCGGATGGAAGCTGGGCAGTAGTGCAGGCATGGACAGCCCATTTGACTAGCAACTTTGAAATGGATTTCCAGATTCAAAAGTTAGAAGATGTGATGTCCAGTGAGATTTTGTCGCTTGAACGGAAGCGGGAGATTCAGATGGCCCAGCGTCAGTTCAGCGAAGCTTTAACAGATTTGTTTGGGGAAGCGATCTCGCAAGTTTTATATTGCACCCGAACGGTGTGGAACGAAAAATTCGCTTTCCAGGGCAAGCTTGGAGACTTGACAGAGCTGTTACAGGAGCCTGCTGCACAATGGCTTTTAGGCATCAAAACAGTCACAAAGGACTACATGGATGTGTACCATATCAGGTTGCAAAGGTGGGACAGTTGGCTGATGCCTTCCGTTCAAAGGTTCTACTTCGGTGACCAAACAGCAGAATATGTTGTCTATATGCGAGAGGGCAACAGTAGGATGACCTGCATCAAAACTCTTGAGCAGTTTCAGCGGGATTGCAGCGGCGCTTAAACAAAATGATGTTGGAGAGGAGGGCAAACTGGCCCTTGTTGTCATGCAATTTTCTTGGCTAAAAAAGTCCGCTCTTGGACAAACAAAATGATTATCTTCCGGCACAAAGCGTGCACAGGTTGCGAGATTGCCGGAAAAAGAACACTAGCACTGGAGGAATTTGGGAATGGGCCAGGTTCACACATTTGCAATATTGGTATATAGTGGTATATATAATCATACCACAGACGAGTAAGAGATGTTCATCTTGACCTGCCATGGTTACTGGTCAGGTCACCCATTCCCTTCAGCGTCATTGAAGCATGGAGCAAAGCGCAGCAACGTGCGGATTGTGGACTTTTTGCAGAGCTCCGCCATGCCTGGGCTTCCCTGGATCAAACACTGTGGCTGGGCTCGCAATTTTTAAAGTTGGACTCCAGAAGATCAGCCTGGCCGCTCTTGGCTATCCATGGCCCTGTGGACTTTGGGCGAAGTGCATCTCATGTCGTGCATCTCATATTGACATATATTGATCTCCATCTGGTCATATCTGGCCATTTTATGCCATTTTGGGATGATGGTGGGATGACTATGACTTTCTTGGGGGCGGTTCGAATTTCTTCGACCCCTTTGAGGTACATCTGGGATTACTGGGAGCCCAGTGCGGTTCACAGCCTCCCCGGAGACTCTGCGATCATCTCGGTGGCCTTGTGCCCAGCAAGATCCGAAGCCTTCGACGAAGCTCCGGAGTTTCTGCTGGTTATGGCCACCGAGCTGCATGGATGGATGGTTTTTTTGATGGTTTTTGTAGGTCTTTGTCACCAAACCATTGGGATTTTCTCGTTTTTTTGGATGTGAATTCTTTCGAGAAGAGACTGAGAAGATTTTAAAGATCTTTTGAGATCTTTTCAGCATTTCATATATTTCATGTTTCCCCAAAAAACCATGTCAGGCCACCCGCCTCTCCGTAACCCTGGTGGGTCTCAGCGGTGCTTGGAGCGGCAGCAGGTTGCAGCTGAAGACCTTGGGATTTTCGGCGCCGACGGATGGCGCGTTTTTCCATTCCATTCGATCCACCGCGGGTGGGCGCATCTTTCTGCTCTCGGGGGCTCCACAGATCTATGAGCTGTGCTACGGCTCCGAAGGCTGGTTCAGGTCCAAGTGTCGACTGCTGCGGCACTCTGTGGGACTAGGCGGGACCGGGGGAAGTGGGGACCAATGAGAAATGAGCATCGCAGGATATTGCATGCCTTCACCTGAACATCAGCTGGTTTGATTGGTGGCTTCACATATTGTCATGTTCAACCATATTTGAGACGATGATCCTTAAGGATCCTCAAGGAATAAGAATGGGATGGGGTGAAACTGGTGAGCAAACTTCGTGAAGCCGCAAAATCGAGAAGCTGTTGCGCTCGTTCGGAGAGGTTCTTGGCATCCTGGCCGCCTGCGCATCATGGCAATTAGCCAAGGACAGGGATGTCGAGTAGCCTTGAGATGCCTTGAGTCATGCATCCCAGTTGGAGCCGCAGGGTTCTGTTGGGTAAGATTGGGCCAAAGATGGTTCCTGAGCTGTAGAATATTGGACGTACTGATACCATTTGCCTACATACTGGTCATACTGGTCATACGAAGTTGCTGCAAGGACACCTCTTCATTTGTGATGACCATGGGACCCTTCGCTTGTGCCTGGCTAGTGATCTTGGAGGTGCACGGAGCCACCTCCGTGGGTGGGGCAAGGGCTTTGTAAGGGTTCCCGGTTGGCGGGCCCGTGGACCTAGCCTTTCGTTGTTGACCCCCATATCCTCCACACCTAGTTACATCACTTGCGATCACTTGCGATCACTTGCCATCACTTGCCATCACTTGCTATCACTTGTCTTTGGACAGTTTCTATCAAACAAAGGGTATGCGGATGTATGCGGTATATGGTATACCATAATAATCCATAATATACAGAACTGAACCCTATAATATTTGTACACATATGATTCAAGCTGTCTTTTGGAAGCCAATATAGATTAGACCATGAGCTACCCACCTAGGTTGCACCATTCAAACATATTGTAAGTAGCTTCAGACGAATGGAGCGCAGGCATTGGTAGACTTGATTGCTACAACTGTTGTGCCATTGGTGAGCTGGTCGAGAATCATGATTTTTGGACATGTAGAAACAGAATGCAACGGCCCAAAAAGAGATTTCAGATTCACCAGCGATTTTTCTCGGAATCTGATCTCCCGTTGGGCCTTGCGGGCGACTTGCTGACGAGGTGCTGCATCTGGCTCCACGTTGCAAGAGCTGGCAGTGCTCAGTGCAGCGAAGTTGGCTGAGCAGGTGAGAGCTGTTATCTCAGGCGCAGGGGTTGGAGTCATAGCCTGCACACTGCAGCGCATGTCCAGGCATGCATGTATCTACATCAATCTCTCTCTCTCTCTCTCGAGATAGACATGACCTGACATGAAACTATATTAGATGTGATATGTGAAATGAATTGAAATCATATAATATGATAACCCAATACAGCATAACATAATATGGTATGATATGGTATGACATGATATGATATGGTGTAATACAGTATGATATGACATATGACACATGACATGATATGATATGTTATGATATGATAGAAAATTGTACACACACACATTCATGTATATATATATACACGTCATATCACATCATATCATACAACATCACATCATACCGGGAACCCGGTATGTATGTGTATATATACATGTATATCTAATATCATATACTGTTTATAGGTGATGGAATACTGTAGTTTGCTTCGGCAGGTCTATCATGACAAGTTCAATTAAAACATCACATACAAAGTGAGGGTCGACTGGACAGGCGTCCTTAATATCGACCATACAGTCCTGTTGAGAACGTTCGATAATACTGACAGGCTTTGGAGCAAATGTCACTCAGATTTGAGTGTGGAAGTTGTGTTTTCTTTCCATGACTCAAAACCCTTTGATAGTGACTGATACTGACTACAAGGAGGTGGACATTCATGTGCTACATGGGAACACCTTGTGCACAGGAAGCCTCTCCTCAAAAACCTTGACGCATCTCTTTAGCTCCATCAGTTCGCAGCCTCAAAGTATGGGTTGATGATTATTGGGGGTTGCACCGCTGCTCAGTCAGTTTGGGATCATAGTCCATGGACCGGGAATCCCCGATTTTTTTTTGATTTTCCTGTGTTCTCTGACATGCGCAACACATGTTGCTGGCAAAGAGGTAGAGTCAGTTGCTTTCTAGATAAGAGGTGTTCATAGAGAAACAATTAGACTTAAACGATATCACTTTCGATTACTCTCAAGAATCTTCCGGGCTTTATGGGAGCTTGAGCTTTCTCAGGGTATTGTTGAGAGTTAGTTGCTTGTCAATAGTCGGGTTTTACACGACAGCATGACAGCATGTAAATTTTTCCAAGATCAATAGACTACTGACTACTGTAGATCCAGAACGAAACAATGGGATCTGGGGGGATATTGAATGCTTATTTGGGGGCAAGGGGAAGTCAACACAGCTATCCGACTTTGCTTGAAACAAAGCGAACAATTTGCGAAGCAAGGATTGTCTTCGGTACGAGATCCCTTGAGATTCCCGACATGGCAAGTCCATCATCCTACACACTATACTATCTATGCTTGTCCCAACCCTGACGCCGGAAAGTTTATTATTATTATTTTTGACTTGATTACTATTCTTCATTATCTTGTACTTTTAGAAATGCACGGAATTGCTGCAAGCAGCAGAGCAGCGGTATGTGGATAGCATGGACTGTGCATAAAGAGGGTTGGTTCGCTTTGAGATGTGCCCATTGCGATCACTCCTCAGCCTCTTTTGACTCCCATCCATTTTTGCTAACCAACCTGTTCTCGCCGACCGTTTCTTTTACTTTTCAGTTTTCCCTGCCCCTTTTTGTGCCCTTTCCGACTGAAGCGTCCGAGAGCCCCAGTGTCTGAGGTGCAGATGGACACTTGCAGTTGGATGCTTGTACCGCAGCTGGAGAGCGCCTTCATTTCGTGCGCCGCGATTTTTTTGTGGATACGAAGTGTGACAGTCACAATTCGCACCCGTTCTTTTGGTCGTTTTGGTTGACAATGTTGACATTTGTGCACCTGATGTAGCACACAATGGAATAATGTGGTTGCCGGCTCACTTTGCTCTTTCTGGCACCTGTGTGAGGTATGTTCTGTCGGTGATTCCAGAGGCTGGGAATCCTGAAGATCCTAAAGCGAACACAAATTATATGATATATGATATTGTATGATATTGTATGATATTATATGATATTATATGATATTATATGATATTGTATGATATTGTATGATATTGTATGATATTATATGATATTATTTGATATTATATGATATTATATGATATTCTATGATATTATATGATAGTATATGATATTATATGATATTATATGATATTATATGATATTGTATGATACTATATGTTTTCATCTGATTTTATCATATTATCTGATATTATATGATATGATGTGATATGATATGAGATAATACGATACACTATTATATTAGATATGATAATATGATATTTTTTTAATATTGTATGAAGTGATATTATATTATATATAATCTTATACTATATGATATGATATGATATCATATCATGTCATATCATATAATATAGTATCATGATATGATATGATATTATATGACTTGATATGATATAATCTGAGATGAGATGATAATAATCTGAGATGATATGTCATAATATTATATAATATCATATGATACGATTTGATATAATATAATATGATATGATATGGTATAATAATACTATGATATATTCTGATTCCAAATGGTTTCTGGAGTTGATTTCAAATGGAAAGTCTGGTGACACCACACTTTGACGGCCGGGCTTCGCCAGGTCGGAAGTATGGCTTTTGGCGCGGATGCTCAGACATTGTCATGGCGCAGCCCAACAGAGCAAGGTTTGTCCGAAAAGATGGCACCGCCCAGCCCCAAGTCATATACCCGGCCTGGTAAACGGTCCCAAAAAACTATGGAAAGATCCACCATTTTCAATGGGAAAATTCACGAAATAAATGGTCATTTTCAATAGCAAACTGTTAAATTACCAGAGGGTATTACGTTGGATGATTAACATATCTATCGAAAACCCTCCATTTGTTGATCATTTTCCCATGTAAACAAACCGTTTAGTTTGGGGATATCCCACCCGTTCAAATGGCAGTTTCGGAAAGGCTCCAACGACTTTCCAGTGGAGATCACTGCGGAGCTTCAGCTGCGAGACCGATGCCCCCGATGCCCCGTCGGCGCACGACGTGTTTGGAGGACTGGGTCAGCCGGGGATGGGAAATCCCAATTGATTCACCAGTGGCATCCACTGGTGAATCAATGTCAACATGTGTCAACCATCATTTTCCCCATGAAAATGGGATAAAATGGGCATGACAAAAAAGCCTACAGTAGCTTTGAGGAACATCCTCAGCCAAGCTGTGCCACTCCAGGTGGCAGACTGAGATTTTTGTGATTGCTGCAGTTCTTTTAAGTTATCCACGCATTTACAGTACTGTATATATATATATGATGGTTGATCTAAAGGTCCTTGTAAGGAGTTTTAATTGCGAAAGCCGTGCATGTTATGTTGGAAACCCTCGCGGAAGTTTTTTTTCGAGTTCGCGAAAGAGAATTTTTATTCGCGAAAGTTTCACGAAAGTTTCGCGAAAGTTGGATATTATGAATCATTATCATTGTATACATTACAGCTTGTTAAGGGCCGCCCCGGGGCCCGGGGTCCGGCAGGAGAATGGTACACCACATTTACCTTTCCCTGAAGGTGAGGCTTCGCCACAGCTAAATACCTGCCGCTCATACTGCCTAACGGTGCTTTCTGAAGTCTCAAGAAACAAGCTCCAAATGCAGCAGCCAAGCTTCCAAAAGTGAGGCTTTGCGAGAGCCAAACACCAAGGCCCCTGGTGTTTGCTGTTCCTCTGATGTGCTGTCTGCTGATGGCTGGGGTCTGTGGATAGGGGTATTTTCGCGAAAGTTCCGCGAAAGTTCTGCGAAGGACTAGACGACAGTCAAAGCGCATCTTGAAGGGAGTGGCCCAGCAAGCCTTGCAATAAAAATGCCTAATCAAATCTAATCAATAACAACTTGTCCTGAGAAGGGGATTCCGTGATGCAAGCTGCATGTTTACAAGGCCATGAAGAAGTT